ACTAAAAATAGACGTGCTTAATGGATCACGTCTACGAACAATCACGTCTATTGTTAGCCAAATAGCTCTAGTATCCACCGCGTCTATCCTGTTTCTATCCATAATAACGTCTATCATTTCCTATTTCATAGTTTCTTGTATGCCAACCCACAAATGTCGTGGTTCTACTTGTTTTTGTTAGGCTCACTGAAGACATCTTCTCTTGGCTTCTGATTGTTCTTTTCTGGTTCCCTTGCGATTTCTTTTTCTAAAATTAAGCATATTACCTTGATCTAGTCTTCTTATTGCTGATCCTACAGTCACCTTATCTTCTCCGAGTTTGTTTAGGCAATATGCAAAGTTTTCGCTGATCCTGCCTTCTTTAAGTCTCCGGTTCATTAGATTTCTCTCGGTCAGTATATCGATGGCCTCGGATCTTGCGTTTTTTTGTATTTTCACCATATGCAGCCTGCCTTTCGGTCGATTTCCAGTAAATTTAGTGTCCCGCTCGTGTTCCGCTATTTCAGATCTTTATGTATTCATGTTCCTGCAGAGTCTGATGTTTCTTGGTTCGTGGGCCAGTTTTTCTTCCTGTTTCACCGATATACTTCTGCTCACAGTTGTTGCATTTGATGGGATGAACTCTCGAGTAATCAAGTTTGTCAGTCTTCTCGTGTTGCGTCAACAGATCGGTTAAAAGTATTTTCTTCTCCTTTTTTGTCACCTTGATATTCCATTCCTTTCGTAACGGTCGCAATTGTTGGCTCAGTTCTGATGAGGACAGGAAAATCAATTTTGGTCGTCCTGATTCCTGATCTGCTTTTCGTAAAATCCGAATTGAAATCTGCCCTTTAAAACCTGCATTTTTTTTCTACAAATTCACTGGGGTACTCATTACTAAGGCAAATCAGTGTCAGTTTTTCCAAATCCGTCAGTTTTTCCAAATCCTCGTCCCAGAACTCAGTGACTGTTAGTCGTAAGCTTCTCATAATGAAACTCCTCGATATTCCGATCTTCAGCCTGTAGTTATGGTGAGACCTAAAATTAAGGATTATTCCCGCATATCAATGCTTTCTGTGTAGTATCCTCTTGACTGTCTCGTTGGAGCGCATGACTTCAATATCCGGAAAGGTTGTACAATCCATGTACACAAACATCTCAGGTGAGAAGGCAATAAGTGCTTTGCTGGAGATATTGGAGCGAGAAGAGGACATCCTGGAGGCAGAATGGATACGAAAAGAATCGTTAACACTACTGATCAACCTGAGAGTGAGGACCACATTTTACATTTAACGGCAGTATCTACGAGCAAATATTTGTACTACCAATGGGATCTCCACTCTTACCTCTTTTGGCAAATGTGTACATGGATAAGTTGGAAAGGGACTTCGAGAAGTCACCACTGCAACCAAGAGTGCTTGTCCAATACTTGGATGACTACTTTGCACTTTGGTCACATGGTAATGAAAATTTGAATGGATTCCTAAATTTAATTAATCAACTTGATGGAAGAAGTAAATCCACAATGGAGGTGGATAAGGATGAACGACTACCCTTTCTGGATATTGAAGTCATGCGCTCCAAAGGGACACTCATGAGGAGGGTGACTAATTCGAGGCAAAAGCCTCTGAGTAATTTTCATGGTCAGGCATTTGCTACATGGGCCACGTCTATGGTAAAAAAGGCCTGTCAATCAACTATCTCAAGTCCTCCCCGTATCTATCCAAATGAAGTCTATGACTTGCTATGTCCTAGTTTCTTGTGTGCCAACCCACAAATGTTGTGGTACTGTTTGTTTTGATAAGGTTCAATTTTGAACCAAGGAGTTAGCAGATATCCTGCGGTGCAAGAGAGAGACTGATATGATTTATGGAAGAAATGCCTAACAATGTGGCAGACTGATTCACATTCCCAGCGCAAGGATGAATGGGGTGAGAACGCCAGCCTGGAGTGTGGAGGGTTCTGAAAGCCGCTCAAAATCGCACACCATGCTACATTTCAATAAGCAAGGAAAAATAATTGTGATTGTGAAGGCGTGATACGAGAATAGAGGAAAGATGAATAGTTCAAGACTAAAGGAGATATATCACAACCGTTTAGCACACATTTGGTTAAAGAATCGGCTTTACTTGTCTCTGACGAGTTGTTGTGCGGTGCTAAGAATGGCGAGACTCACTGACGATGCCGACAAAACGTCTGTGAATGTACCACGTCCACGATCCGACTTTGGAAATTATCATGCACACAATGGACTCCGGACTAGGTGCGTTTCTTTAAATCTTTCTACCAATATGACCAAGTTGCGTAAAGAAGGTCAAACAACTTCTTGATTATTTTTGTTTTTCTAATTTCATATCGACTTAATTTAATCTCCATTCGTCATAGCCCACATTCGATCTCACGCTAGATAGACAAACGAACTTCTCAATAACTTCTTGTAATCCTCGAAGGTCCATACGGACTGTGTAATACAGGGCATTTCACATGTCAATTGTTGTTTATAGTGGCCACTACTACTGTTTTGAGGGATTTTAAACCACAGGGTACAAAACAAACAGAGGGTCGTGGGACAGATGCCATAATAAGCTAAATTCTTAAATAAGAATATGCTACGCAATGACGAGGAACTGGTGAAATGAGGTGATGGAATGGGCGAAATATCCATACCCAGCGCCGTTACACTTCTTGAACGATCTATCATTATAGGTGTCCGGGCCGTGGCCAACAAGCGAGGTTAATATTGATGTGGATTAGCGTGTATGCTTGAGACCCTACTGTATCGTCGGCGATAAGACTAGGCTAGAACTGAAAAAGCAAATAAAATTTGTATTTTGTCGTTGCAAATAAATCGGAGACACTAAGGCATGAATAAGATAAGTGGTTTTTCGCAACTGCATATTTAAACATATTTGGACGGGTTCTTCGTGCATTCGGATGTTTCACGTGCATTTAGTGACCATTAGAATTGGGTACATTTTTGTTCGATTCCAGGTTTTACTCTTCACTGCAATCTCCTATTCTTGACTTACATTTGTCCTTCATGAGCCGCCCCTTGGCGACGTCTCATCCTATTGTTGAATAGTTGTCCTAGGTCCAAGCGTCTTCTTTTTGATGTCTTCGCTGAATCTAGGCAACGCACGAAAGTATAGCTGACTCTCCTTTTCTAATCTCTTGTTCATCAGGTTTCTTTAAAAGAGGATGTCCACAGTCTCCCTTATCTTCCGTTATCTGGTGTTCTCCCCATATGGGGCCGGTCTTTGCGTTGCTCTTCAGTCAATTGTGTGGCCGATGAGAGAGATGTGTTCAGATATCTCCGGTCTTAGCGTATCCATTTTTTGCAGTCGGTGTTATTTGATCCTTGTGCTGATTGTCTTTCCTGTCTCCCCAATGTATTTTTGTTTACTGTCCTTGTAGTTTATGCTGTTGACTTCTTCATGTTGTGTGGACAAGCTGGTGAAGAGGATTATCCTTTCCTTCAGGCATGTACGGATGTTCCGTTTCTATAGTATCGGCCACAGTTTCCTAGCCAATTCGCAGGTGGGTAGACATATCCATCGTTTTTCCTCTGTTTCTTTTGCTTTCTTTTCATAATCTCCGTTCTTCCATATGTTCATCACCATCCGTATGTTGCGCTGTATTGCTTCTGGATCTCCGTTTCCAAGAGACCTCTGGGTTAGTTTTTATAGTTCCTCTTCTTAGAACTCGGAACGAGTGAGTCGTAAGATTCTTATGACCATACTCCTCACTATTCCAATATTCATCCAATAAGTATGGTTAGAATGGAAGTTAAGAGTTACTTCGGCACACGATGTCTTTCGGAAAAGTCTTTTCTTGAAAGCTATATCAGAACAATGATCTCCACATTCAAGAACGGTAAGTGTCCGTTCTCTTCCATATTCGTGGTAAATTTGATTTTTTTAACCCAATTGTTTAAAACAGACAATTTTGTTGAACAGAAACTTGGTCAAGAGGATTGCCTTGCCACTGACAAATTGTAAGTCA